TGTTCTCAACCTTCTGGCCCTTTAAATACAGTTCCTCATGTTGTGACCCAACCATAAAATTATTTTCGTTGCTACTTCATAAATGTACTGTTGCTACTGTTATGAATCGTCATGTAAATATCTGATATGCAGGATGGTCTTAGGCGACCCCTGTGAAAGGGTCGTTCGACCGCCAAAGGGGTCGCGACCCACAGGTTGAGAACCGCTGCGCTAGATGAAGGGATAGGGTCATTAAAAATGCATCGGTGCTATCAAACTGCCCTCCACGAACCCCATCACAGCGACTCTCCCAGCAGTGGGTATTATCAGACTTTTAAATACTGGCCAGTCTGTCCAAGCTGGTTTGGCTCAGTGAATAGAGTGTCAGCTTGCGGCCTGAAGGGTCCCAGGTTTGATTCTGGTCAAGCGCACATGCCCGGGTTGTGAGCTTGATCCCCAATGTGGGGCACGCAGGAGGCAGCTGATCAATGATTTTCTCTCATCATTGATGTTTCTATCTCTCCCTCTCCCTTCCTCTCTGAAATAATATAAATATATATATATTAAAAAAAATACTGGCCAGTCTGATCCACAAGGCCCTGTTCTGTGATGTCATCACTTTCAGCTCCTTTCCCCAGCACCTGCCACACGTCAGGCCCTGTCCTGGGCCCCGTGTCCTCGGGGGACTTATATTTGGCGGAAACAAGGCCTTTGGCGGCAGCGGAGAGCTTGTTCAGAGACAGAGCTAGGAGGGTATTTAAGCTGGGCTGCAGGTGAAGTGAGTTACCCAGCGAAAGAAAGATGTAAAAGAATGTTCCAGGCAGTGGAAAGAGCATGAGCTAAAGCTCGGGTGTGAACACACTGAATTGTTTTTATACTAGGGGGGTTCTTTCTTTTTCTTTTTTTAAAATATATTCTATTGATTTTACGGAGAGGAAGGAGAGGGATAGAGAGTTAGAAACATCGACCAGCGTCCTCTGGCATACCCCCCACTGGGGATGTGCCTGCCACCAAGGTACATGCCCTTGACTGGAATTGAACCTGGGACCCTTGAGTCCGCAGGCCGACGCTCTATCCACTGAGCCAAACCAGTTAGGGCTAGAGGGTTTCTTGGTAGGGTAAGGGCCAGGGATGAGGTTGCAAGGGTCAGACATGGAACAGGGACTTGACCCTGCAGGATGGGGGCCTCAGAAGGGTTTGAAGCAGAAGAATGACAGGATGAGGTTTGTAGCTGGAGGGGAGGGGTGGTGGCGGGTACAGGCTGGTGGTGCTGGGGTCCAGGGGAAGCCTGGACCAGGGTAGGCCTGCCTATCTCGGGCTGGAGAAGGACCACTCCCAGGCAATGGGAGCAGCCCGTGACCCCTGGCCCTGCCTGCAGGAGGCCTGGGAGCGCAGCCTGGCCGAGATGGAGTCCTCCCACCAGCAGGTGATGGAAGAGCTGCAGCGGCACCACGAGCGGGAGCTGCAGAGGCTGCAGCAGGAGAAGGAGTGGCTCCTGGCCGAGGAGACAGCCGCCACGGCCTCAGGTGAGGACCCCGGGAAGGAGTGGCACAGCGGGCTCGGCCTCGCAAACCTCTAAGCTGAGGCTCCTCCTCGCTGGATTTGGGAGGCTCTTAAATAAGAAGCTGGGGTCCCTGGTGCTAGACTTAGGGTAAGGGATCAAGAGGAGTTGGAAGCCCCCAGAATTGGCCTCAACCTACTTAAAAAGAGGAAAGTGAGGCAATGAAAAGACACCCTCCCCCCCATTAGCTGTGAGTGCTCCCTTGCGGCCTGCAGCCACTGGAAGGTCCGCTGTGATCCAAGCCTATGCCCAAGCCGGTGCCATGTCCTGGGGGAGAGACTGCTTAGCCTCAGACCCAGTTTTCACAGCAGGGCCACCTTACTGGGCACACAGGCCGGACCCCGGGGAGAGCAGGGAGGGGTGTGAGCTGTCCTAGGCCTTGCAGTGCCCAAGAGAGTGACCCATTTCTCAGATGAGGACACTGGCTCAGAGGTTAGTGATCTGTCCAATGGCACAGCTTATCGGTGGCAGAGCTGGAGTTGGAGCCCAGAGCACACTGACTGCAAAGCCATGCTCTGAACCCACCCTCTGCTTTGTGTGCCTGGCACAGCGCATGCACCTCCAGATGGTTTTAGAAAAATGGAAATGATGGAAGAGATCACATGATCTAGAACTTACACCTGCTAAGTGCTTGACACACTCAAGCCCATGGCCCTCCATCCCAAACCCTGGGGCCATGCGTTTTGCTTTTAGGAAGATAACCTGGTGCATACATTAGGTGTCTCAGCAGGATCTGGGCTTCACCCTGAAATCTAGCACCAAGTTATTTGCAGTGACATTTCTCAGGGTCACCCTTAAGTGGGACCTCAAATAGCCTCATGTCCATTTAGGCCGGGGATTGTCACCAAAAGAGTTACGAAAAACTTCCAGTGTTCAGAACTTTTGGATTTTGGGATTACAGATAAGATGATGGTTGAGGACTTGTTTAATCCTCACAGCAACCCTGTGTAAGTGTGAAAAGAGACTCAGTCCTCGGGAGCTCACAGTCTGAAAAATCAACCAGAAGCTAACGTCTGTGCTGTGCGTTGTTTGAAATGCTCTTCCCACGTCTCCCAGTGACTCATGAGAGAAGGTGCATTGTTAACCCCACTTTCCAATGAGGACCTGAGGCCCAGAGGGGTTAAGTCCCCTGAGCAAAGTCTCCTCGATTTGTATCCACTGCTGAGCCTGTACTCTTGACCACTAAGCTGGGCCACACAGATGGGTCTTGTTAAAGGACCCTCCAGGCTGTGCAGGGACAGTGGACTGTGTGGGCTCTACCCAGCCATCACTAGCAAAAGGTACCAGTGCTCAGACACTGGGTGTCTCCCCAGCAGGGCCCATCAGAGAGGGATTGTGACCCTCTCTTGCTAGACAGGCTCAGGAAGGTCAAGCAACTTACCCAAAGCCACTCAGTTCACAACACAGCCTGGTCCCTTGCTCTTTACATGCCACTGCCTGCTCCTGTCTCCACGGCACGTGTGGCGTCTCAGAGGAGGTGAAGTTGGTGCTGCTGACCCCTCCCCAACCTCCTCCTCGCTTCTGCTCTGTTTCCAGCCATCGAAGCCATGAAGAAGGCCTATCAGGAGGAGCTGAGCCGGGAGCTGAACAAGACACGGAGCCTCCAGCAGGGCCCAGACGGCCTCCGGAAGCAGCACCAGTGAGATGGCACTTGGGCCCCGGGGTCTGTGGGCTGGGCCTCCTTCTGAGCCGGGGACCCAGCTGCATACACTGGCGGTCCTGAGTCAGGGACCTGTGCTGACGCCCCTGGCAAAGGATACGTCAGTTTGCCCCCAGCTGAGACCCCCACTGTCATTGTGGCACCTGAACAGAGTAGCAGGGCCTTAGTCAGACCTCCATGCCATCCACACAGACAGTTCTTCAGGCCACCGTGCTTCTGGCCCCTTCTTGTCAGGCTGGTCTCGGCCTCCAACTCCTGTCCCCTCGTTAGTGTCCCCTAGAGCTGGGCTGCAGTGTCAGCCTCGGCCAGTCCCTGTCCTGCCACCGAGCACAGTTCTGGAGGCTGCAGAGGCTGTAGCGATGGGCTCCCCCCACCCGCCCCTCACAGAGGAGGCACCTGTAGCCACTGGTGCCTGTCATCGTTCAAAGCCCCACAGTTGGGCTCAAAGCAACACTAGGGTGGGAATCAGGAGCTGCGTTGAGTTTGCCATGACCCGACTCAGGTGGCAGAGGGCACGCGAGCCCACATCCATCACTGTTCCCCTCCTCCGCCCCGGGCAGGTCAGACATGGAGGCGCTGAAGCGGGAGCTGCAGGTGCTGTCGGAGCAGTACTCACAGAAGTGCCTGGAGATCGGCACCCTGACGCAGCAGGCCGAGGAGCGCGAGCACACGCTGCGCTGCTGCCAGCAGGAGGGCCAGGAGCTGCTGCGCCACAACCAGGTGGGCCTGGCCCCAGTGGGTGGGGACGGGCGCCCAGCAGCCCTGCGCTGACCATCCCCCCTCCCCACGCCCCCGCAGGAGCTGCATGCCCGCCTGTCTGAGGAGATTGACCGGCTGCGCGGCTTCATTGCCTCACAGGGCACTGGCAGCGGCTGTGGGCGTAATGAGCGCAGCTCCTGTGAGCTGGAGGTAAGTGCCCACCGGCTCACCCGGCTGGTCCTCGGGGCCTAGGCCTGAGGAGGGCGCCTGAGGGGCTGGGCCCAGCAAGGAGACGCCAGCACAGCTGGGAAGGACCTGCTGTGTGCGCTGCATTCCTGCAGCCAGAGTCCAGCCCTCCCACCCATCTGCTGTGTGGTCAGGACCAGTGCCTCGCCTTTCTAAGTCCAGTAGCTCATCTGTAAAATGGGGCTCGCACACCTTTCTTACTGGGAGAAGTTGCAGTGAGAAAATGTGGGCATGATCCCAGGATCACCCTGGTACTTTATTTTACAAACATTTATATACGGTTTACTCTGTGCCTGGGACTTCTGTGAGCCGAGGTTCTTAACTCACCGAGTCTCCCTCACAGTCCTATGGGGCACATGCTGTAACTATCCCCGTTTTACAGGTGAGAAAACAGACACAAGAAGGCCAAGTACCTTGCCCAAGAGCACACGGATAGTTGGTGTGGGAGCTGGGATTTCAACCCAGCCGTCTGGTTCCAGAGTCTAAGCTTTTAGTCTCCCCAGTCTGGCTGAAACCGTCTCCTCCTTAGCTAAGTCAGGACAGCAACACCTGCCCCTCGGGGTTTGGGGAGGGTTAATGAGGTCGTCCGCAGAGTCCCAGCTTCTCTGGTTCAGAGTAGGGCCATACCATGGCTCCCTTTTTCTTCTTCGCCCTCAAGTTGAGGTCCTGGTGCTATGGTGCGGGTGGGTGAGAGAGGACTTCCTGGGGGGGGGGGGTGCCCTAGGGTGTAGTGGGTCTCAGTGCAGGCTGGGAGCTGCATTCTAGGGGCCTGAGGCAAGGAGAAGGCCGGCTGCGGTGTGCCCTGGGCTGGGTAGCTCTGGCCTCTGGCCCTGGGTTAGCGTGCACCTGTGACCCCAGGTGCTGCTGCGAGTGAAGGAGAACGAACTTCAGTACCTGAAGAAGGAGGTGCAGTGCCTCCGGGACGAGCTCCAGATGATGCAGAAGGTAGGTCCTGGCTGAAGCAGGGTGTCAGCGGGTGGGGGACCTCGGGATCCAGCTGGATGCCCCATCCTGAGCCCCTGCTCTGTGCCAGGCACTCCTCGTGCCTCTCCCCCGGAGGTGTCATCCTCATTTACAAAGAAACTGAGGCTAAGAAAGGGTGACTTGCTCAAGGCCACAATTGCTCTTTTTTATTCAGCAAATATTTATTGAGCACCTCTCTGTGCCAGGCATGGTGCTAGGTGCTGGGGAGACATCTGTGAACCAAAAGGCCAGCATCCCTGCCTGTGCAGAGCCTGCATTTCAAAAAGAGGCAAGCCATGTTGCCAGCGGGGGGTGAGGGTGGGGGTGGCGTGGGGGGGCTGGGATTCAGGACCAGGTTTGAGAGTGTGTGGCTTGCCTGGTGCCCATGTCCCGGTGTGTTTGACATCCTCTGTGTGTCCGTGGCTCTGGGAGTGTGTGAGTCAGACTCATGGAACGGGCCCACGTATTGGGCCACGCTGACCTGGTTCTCCTCCCAGCCACCGGTTGCAGTGTGGTCTTGGGCAAAAGCTTCACCTGCCTGAGCCTCCGCTCTCATGTTGAGCAGGTTGCAAATGGTGCTGAAACCTGTGGTGCTGGGAGGGGTTCGTCCAGGGCTGGGCCGCCAAGGGGGCCTCCCGGCGGGAGAAGGCCCTGGGCACTGCAGAGCGGCCTGGCTGCTTGTGCTGGCCAGTAGGGAGCAGGGTGGGCATGTGCTGAGTGGGCAGGGCCAGGGAGGGAGGGCTCTGTGCCCTTACCGCCCCTGCCCACCCCCAGGACAAGCGCTTCACCTCAGGAAAGTACCAGGATGTGTACGTGGAGCTGAACCACATCAAGACGCGGTCGGAGCGGGAGATCGAGCAGCTGAAGGAGCACCTGCGCCTCGCCATGGCCGCCCTGCAGGAGAAGGAGGCGATGCGCAACAGCGTGGCCGAGTAGAGGTGTGCCCGGGCCTGGAGGGTGCACTCAGGGCTGTGCCACCTGCCCAGGGCACTTCCTTTTCCTGGCCTCTGCTTCCCTTTCTATAAATAGGGACAGTGGCGCTTCTTAACGCTGTGCCGCAGCCACAGCCTGGTCAGTCCACGCCTCCTCAGGCTGACAGCGCCCGGCTGGTCTGCTGAGGCGTGGGTGGCAAATGCGGTGCCTGCCCCCCTCAGACCTGGCAGCAGGCACACGTCACTAATAGTCTTCCTTCCACCGAGCTCCGCACCCAGACATCCCGACGGGGGCAGCTCCCTCTTTCTGATAAGTCCTGTGGACGGCTGAGCGCTTGGGAGAGGCCGCCCGGTGGCCCGCTGTGTGGGGAGAAGCCTGGAGGAGCAGATCTGGCCCAGCCTTTGGGGCCCAGAGGTGTTGGGAGGACCTGCTGGCCACCCTTGTGTAGCCTAAGCCACGCTGGGGCCCAGGACCAAGGCTGGGGCTTCCCCAGCCCTCACCAGCCCCTCTCTTGTCTTCCAGGTCCTGTGGTTCGGCCCAGCTGCAGACTCCCAGCCCAAGGGGACCAGTTGCCCTCCTTCCCTGCTGGATGGAAGTCAGAAGCCAAGCTTTCTCCCCACCCTCTGTGGGCTACACGTGCACTCACAACTATCACACAGGCACACACACACACTGCACAGGTACACGTACACTGCACAGGTACACACACACACCTCACAGGCACACACACCGCACAGGCACACACACCGCACAGATACACACACACTGCATAGGCACACACACATGGGCATGCACATAGGCACTGCATAGACACACACAGGCACCACAGGCATACACACACACAGACACACAGGCACTGCACAGGGACACACACACAGGCACCACAAGGCATGCACACAGGCACACACACTCAGGTGCACACACGCACAGGCATGCACATGTACACCACACACATGCACAGGCGCACGCACACACACTCTCTGCATATCTGAGCGTGCCCCTCGCACTGGGTCTTCTTACCTTGCACCTTCTTCAGGATTTTATATGTGAAGAGATTTTTATATATAGACTTTTTCCTTTTTTTTCCCAAAACACGTTGTACTTTTTAAAAAGCAATACCTGGTGGCTGTGTGCCTCCAGCACTGGCTCCCCTGTCTCCAGCCTCCCGCTTGGGCTCCTGGGGCCGAGGCCCTGCCCTGGGGTCTGGCAGCGGCCCTGGCAGAGTTGATTCTGGTGGGAGAGGCAAGGAGCCAGCCACCCTCCTCCCACCCTACCTCCTGCTAATTACTTATGCCCTGGAGGGTCCTGCGCCCTGGGACTCTGGACAGAGGGACAGAGGGAGCTGGCCTCTGTCTCCATGGCCCCACCTCCCCCTCGGGGTGCTGGGCGTGGAACCGCTGGAGCTGCCGTGAAGGCGTTTTCCTCCTGCTCCATCGCCTTCTTAACTTAATAAAGTGTTCCTGCAGCTCTGGTGTCCTGGATGGCTGGGGCAGGGCGGTGATGGAGGTGGGGTTTCCCACCCCTCTGCCCCCAGCACTGCACCCTTCCTGCAGGTGGCCTGTGAGCTTCTGAGGGTGGAGCTGAAGATCTAGCTCCTCCAGGCGGTGCTCTGCAGCTCTGCGTGGGTTACAGACCAGCACCAGCACCCCCACCAGGGAGCTGGTTAGAAACACCAAGTCCAGGTCCCACCGACCTACGGACTCAGTGTCTGCACTACGTTACAGTCCCAGTGGTTCATGCACCTCTGAGACGCCCTGGGGCGGGCGCTGGGCCCAGCTGGACCTGAGGCTGCCCCTGACTGACCTGGCAAGTCACGTCCCCTCCTGGAGCCTCTCCATCAAATGGGCGCCTTTTAGTCCCAGTCCCCGAGGCTGTGCCCAAAGGTCATGCCCAGCCCTGGACAGGGTCAGGTGGGGGCAGTGGATGTGGGAGGCCCCGTCATGGCTGATGGGTGTGCTGATCTTGGTCATGTGTGGGTTGGAACAGGCCCCCTGAGCTGCCCCAGGCCAGGCCGGCTGTCCAATTAGCAGGGCTGTGGCTAAGATGATGAAGACATAAGGACAGCTTGAGCCAGCTTCGCCCTCACGGCTGTTCCCATCAACCCTCGGGCACCTCAGGCCAGGCACAGGTGCATAGAGATGAACAAGAACTGGCTTGGCCCCACTGCAGCCACATCGGGTTGGGGAGTGGGCCTGGTCCCTTGCCAGCGATGGGTTAGGAGTGGGCACGGGATGCCGTTCCAGCCACTGGGATGCAGGAAGGGAGGTCTTTCTTGATCTTAAAAAGGGTCCCAAAGCCGTGGCTGGTGTGGCTCGTTTGGAGCGTCGTCTGTGCACTGGTGTGGCTTGGTTGGAGCGTCGTCTGTGCACTGGAGGATCTCAGGTTCGATTCCCTGTCAGGACTCATGCCCAGGTTATGCGTTTGACCCCCGGTCAGGGCGCAAACAGGAGGCAACCAATCAATGTTTCTCTTCTCCCTTCTCTCTAAAATCAATAAAAAAAAAACATATCCCAATTTAGCCAGTTTGCTCAGTGGATAGAGCGTCCCAGGTTCAGTTCCACTCAAGGGCACGGACCTTGGTTGCAGGCTCCACCCCAGCCCCGGCCCTGGTCAGGGTGCGTGCAGGAGGCAACCAATCGGTGTGTTTCTCTCACATGGATGTTTCTGTCTTTCCCTCTCTCTTCCACTCTCCCTAAAAGATCAATGGAAAAATATCCTGGGGTGAAGATTACCAAATAATGAAAATTAAAAAATGAAGCTAACATATCCTCGGGTAAGGATTTAAAAACGGGGTTGGGCCGAAACCGGTTTGGCTCAGTGGATAGAGCTTCGGCCTGCGGACTGAAGGGTCCCAGGTTCGATTCCGGTCAAGGGCATGTACCTGGGTTGCGGGCACATCCCCAGTGGGAGATGTGCAGGAGGCAGCTGGTCGATGTTTCTCTCTCATCGGTGAAGATTACCAAATAATGAAAATTAAAAAACGAAGCTAACATATCCTCGGGTAAGGATTTAAAAACGGGGTTGGGGTTCATAAGGAAGGAGACTTCTCTCCTGGCCTGTGGACAGTGTTGGGGGAAGTCCTGACATGGCCACCATCTTGCCTCATCAATGGTCAATAGTGGCTGAGCAGAAAGAATCAGGATCCCTGAGCCATCGGGTCCCCCTGCCTCTGGACTTCCTGCCTCATGAGATAAGGAGCTTCCCAGAGCCACTCAGAGATGGAGTGTCTGCACGGCAGCTCAGTATCCAGAGAGTTGAGTCCAGATCCCCACCCATCCTCCCTGTGCTTTTACCTCCCACCAGCCCTGGACACCCCTCAATTCCATCCTCGGCCCCCATGACTCCCTCAGCCAACTGGGTTTCCCAGAGTGCACCTGGGCTGAGGCACCACCCTCAGGGCCACCTGGGAAGCTAAAGTCAGGCCAACGTGAGATGTCACTCTCCACCAACGAGAATAGCTCAAACTAAGAGGCCTGACAATCTCAAGTGTCTGCGAGGATGTGGGACGTGGGTTCTCACGAGTCGCTGGTGGCAGTGCCCTCTGTGCCACCACTGTGGGCAAGAGTGTGGCAGATTCTTAGAAACACACATCTCCCCTATGACCTAGATGTCCACTCCTGCATGTAACCCAGGAGCAATGCGCGTAGGGCCACAGAATGACTAGGACAATAATATTCATATCAGCCCAAATCTGAGCACAAAATATATGTCCATCAACAGAATGAATAAATAAATGTTATGTTCATACATTAGACATACTATATGGCAATGAGAAAAGAATTACTGCTACGCGCAACATCATGATGAATCTTCAGACACAATGCTGAGAGGAAGGAGCCAGCCACCAAGGGCGCCGGCTGTACAATTCCACGTGTGTGAAGGTCAAGGACAGGAAAACTGTCACTATGGTGATGGTCATGGGCCTCTGGGCTGGGCGGGGGGCTCATACTGACTAGCAGTCCTGGGCACAAAGGACTTCCCGAGTGAGAGAAATATTCCGTCCGTGATCGGGGTGGTGGTCACACGGGTGTGTACGCATCTAAAAATGTACCACGCTGTACATTTGTGCGGCTGACTGTGAATCATGTTCCGAAAAAAGCTGGGTTCCAGCAGGTGCCCAGGTGAGCCACCTGGGGAAAGCCCCAGTCACCTGTCACACAGGGAATTTGGCCAAAACCACATGGCGTGGCTGCCAGGCACGTCCTATGGAAAGAGCGGAGGCTGGGGCCGCAGACAAACCTGCCTGAGTTCAGACCCAGCCGCCGCCTCCAGCTGGCTGCATGCACCTCGCCGAGTCACAGCCCTCTCTGGGCTTGTTTCCCATCTGGTTTTTGTTTTGTTTTTAATCCTCACCCAAGGACATGCTTAGAGAGAGGAAGCGGCGGGGGGCGGGGAGAGAGGGAGAAACATCAATGTGCGAGCGAAACATTAATTGGTTACTGACCGGGGATGGAACCCGAAACCCAGGTATGTGCCCTAATTGGGGATCGAACTGTCAGCCCTTCAGTGCACAGGATGACGCTCCAACCAACGGAGCTACCTGGCCAGGTTATGGCCCATCTGTGAAATGGGGACCATAATGTTTACCACCGAGGGCGTGTGGATATTAAATCACCAGCCCTGTCAACTACCTGTCGCTGTGTAGCCAGCGGCCACAGCCTTAACGCTCAGAACAACTGTCTTCTATCATCACGCACGACCCCGTAACGGATGGGGATCTGGACTCAACTCTCTGCGCTCAAACCGGCAGTTTTCTGGGCGTCTTTTTTGCAGTGGCCGTTGCGCGGTGGCTGGGCTGGAGCCACCTGAAGGCTCAGCTGGGTTGAATGTCCAAAGTGGCTTCTTCACTCAGCTGGGATGACATGACAGGGACCCTGGACACGCCCCCAGTGGCCTCTGCACGAGGCTGGCTTGGCTTCCTCCCTGCACGGCAGGCCCCGGGGAGTCTGCAGTGACTTCTTACTTGGTGGTTGACCTCCCAGAGGAAGAGAGTTTCAAGAGACCCCGCTGGGATTACAAGCTTCTGATGACTTAGCGTGGAAGTGCTGTGGCGTCCCTCTCATCACATTAGTCAAGACCGGGTCACAGGGAGGGGACAGACTGGGTCACAGACCAGACTCAAGGGAGGGGACACCAGCAGGGCAGGATGCGGGGGTGGTTCCCTGGGGGCCATCGTTCTTCTGTGGCTCCCTCTCCTCAGGCCGTGAGGCTGGGGAGCCCTGTGGGGTTCGGCTGTGTCACTTCCTTATCACCACTGAGTCAGACTTCACTCCACCTCCCTTTACTCGGTCCGAGCTCCAGGCTCCCCAGCCCCACCCCATCCAGGGGCTCCACAACCACCCACCCCTCTCAGCCCGGGACCTGCAGTGCCTCTGGGTGGGTGGGGGACAATGTCACCCCCTAGCGGCTCACCCTCAGAAAGCACTAACGATGCAGACCCCACCCTCCTCTTCCTCCCAAATGCCCCTGTTTATACCCCTGCCCCTGCTCTAACCCTGAACACCCCTCCCTCACCGGGGGCCGGGGGAGGGCAGGATGAGGAAGGAGTAGGAGCTCAGGGCTGGGGTCAGACAGCTCTTCATCTGTATCCTTGTACTAGCTCTGCAAATCTGGGCAAGTTATATAGCTTCTCCGTGCCTCGGTTTCCTCTTCTGTAAAATGGGGATAGTAGTGCATAACTTGCAGAGGTGTTATGAACATAAAAA